AAAAAAAAAAAAAAAAAAAAAAAAAAAAAAAAAAAAAAAAAAAAAAAAAAAAAAAAAAAAAGGAAAAAGAAAAAACGTATAACTAATTTAAATAAAAAAAAAAAGGAAAAAGATAAAGAAAAATCTTGGACTGAACAGTGCTTTTAATCATTGGAGATGGGAGGCCAAGGCGGCTTCCTGTTAATATACGCGCTAAAATTTCGGACAAAAACCAAATAAAATAATAACAAACACTACAAAATTACCTCGCACTGCAGATTCGCACGTGCCAACTCATTTTCCTCTATAATTTATTTATTTATTTTCTTTTCTGAAATTTGATTTCAATGCAATATAAGCAAGATTTGGGTTACCTCCTTCCTTCTCTCCTCTTATCGTGTTTTGGTCACCGGTGGAGATCTCTTGTGGACGACTACCTTTCGTAAAACCAGTCGAGATAAGTAATCGGGATTTTCTTTCATTTTGTTTCTGAATCATCCATCGAGATCAGCCGAAGTTATCGGCTCGCCGAGCTCGGTTACGGGTAAGGGATTTCGATCATCTTAGTTTTTTGAGTTATTGTCTTTTTTGGTCGCTCTTTGTTAATTTTGTCTCCGATTCGTCGATCACCGTGGTCTTACTGGTCTTTGTTTTCGACGTACTCGACGTGGTGGTTGCGTGGATGTACTTGTGTCGATACCGAGGTGTTAAAAGCTTGTTCGCCCTAATTTGTTAGGAATTGTAATCTGTGTCTATCCAGCAGTTTAGGAGAGAGATCTAGGGTTTTGTTTCATGAGAAGGGTACGGGAAAGGGTTTATTGATGTGCAAGAGCTTGAGTGTTAATTTTGTTAAGGCACGGGTTTGTAGTAGCTACTATGTTTTCCGGATTGAATAATGTATCGAAGGAGATTCTTTTTGTTCTTGTTTGTCCTGTAAATGGAATTAAATGGTATCACCTCCTTCTGCATCCATTGGGTTCATGTGGACGTATGCTCTAGAGTCTGGACTTCATTTTAGACCTGCAATTTTAATTTACTTAAAAAGCGCCCTTGAAGTGCTCCATTGTTCTTTTTCGTTATGGTGATATCATGGAAGATAGAGGCACCTCCTTCTCATTTGATTGAACTTGTTTCATGTTTCTCATCTAACTTTCACGTGGTTGAATTTTCATCTTTTGTATCCTTCTTTAACGGTCCTTTTTCATTTTTCTGCATTGGCCATATGCATTTTTAACAATTGAAGCTAAGATTGTTGTCTTGGTCTATTTTCAGCCGGTGAGGATGTCGACTCCTGCAAGGAAGAGACTGATGAGAGACTTCAGGAGATTGCAGCAAGATCCACCTGCTGGCATCAGTGGTGCGCCACAAGACAATAATATCATGCTATGGAATGCTGTCATATTTGGGTCAGCTGGGAAAATAAATAATGACCTTGTTCTTTCTTCTTATCAGAATTTGTGCAGGGCAATTGCTTCTTTGACTACTGATGCTTTGGTCTTTGACTGTTTTTTTTGTTGGCTTTTGCAGGCCAGATGATACGCCTTGGGATGGAGGTATTCTTACTTTCTGTCTTTCTTGGCCTATTTTTCTTCTTTAGAATAAACAGCGTTGTATTAGGATCAAGTTCTATAGTAATTTACTCATTTCTTCTTTGATGGTTTCACTTTGTTTTTCTGTCCAAAACTATAACTAATGAGGATCTTTTTTCACTGCAGCTATGTAGATATGTATGTTGGCTTTATATCTAATAGCTTTGTACAGTTAAATTGATTTGTCAATTTTAAAATTATCCGGTCCTGATTTGCATGATATTTTGTTTGTATTACATGTTCTTCTCTTTAAGCTTTTTACCGTTTGGATATGGATGTGTGTTGTATTTTCTGGTGGAGAACTCAAAGAATAATTAGAACTTTCTAAATGTCTGGTTGTGATTTCCTGGTTCTTTAAATTCAAAATGTTAAGTTGCTTTCATCCTTCCTGGTGCGAGTTATGGGACTGTATTCTGGAGGATCTGTGTATTCTGATGTCCTTTTCTAAACACTGAAATGGACATTAGCATCTTGTTTACTTTTCTGAGAATTTTGATTAATTTTGCATCTTATTTTGGTATTTTTCCACAAGTATTTTTTTTATGAACTCCTCATGTAGTTTATGAATTGTAATTTGGCTACCCTTTTTTTGAGTGTTGACCAGGTACGTTTAAGCTGACCCTTCAGTTCACGGAGGATTATCCAAATAAGCCACCAACAGTTCGCTTTGTGTCTAGAATGTTCCACCCTAATAGTAAGTTCACAATATCAAAGAATGTGCCCTTTACAAACAAGTTATGCTTTATGTGGTTCATTCTGGGTCAATTTGAGAGCTTATTATAGTCTCCATTGGCACTGGGTTAAGAAGATACCTAATTCTCCTGTAGATTCTTTCTCCAGCTACTTATTGTTAAGAGCGTGTTGCTTACTATGTTTATATGCTGTGCTTACCCAATTTCATTGTATATTTTTCATATTGTGCATAGGTTATTTTCTTTGTCTTACAAATAAAAAGCAGTCTATTGTGTTTCCATCATCAAACTTTTATATGAACTCGATGTGTTATGTTTGATATATATGGGTATGTTTGACTTGGGCCTGGATGATTTTAATGATTGGAAGGCAAGAGAGAGAAAGTATAACTATCTGGTAAAAAGACAAAGTAAATGTTTATCTTAGGGTACATTGTAAATTATGACAATTTTATTCTTAATTTGTTCTGTACATGTTTCTAAGCTTACACTTTGTTTGTGCGTTTGCCTTTTCCATTGCCTTCAGTTTATGCTGATGGAAGCATATGTTTGGACATTCTGCAAAATCAATGGAGCCCAATCTATGATGTAGCAGCTATACTCACCTCTATTCAGGTATTCCTAATTGATTTAACCTTAATAAATGTCAAGCGTATTTTTAATTTATGTATGATTAATAGCTCTTTTTATCACAAATGAAAAGCATGCCACTGCTCCTGTACTATGCCCTATCCTAGAAGTAGCACGCATATGGTTCATGTGTCCTCATGATGCTCATTGTAACTTATTTATGGAACTGGCTGTGCGCGCAAGAATTTACTTAGTACAGTTGCCCTTGCCACTGACCAGCCATGCCATAAAAGCACTCATTCCTTTAGTTTTTGTTCTTATTTTCTGAATTTGTGGCATATGACAGTTTAGATTCTTTTGATTTATTGATTTAGTTTATTATTTGACATTTAGGATCAAGTATAAAGAACAGGCCTCAAAAAAAGTATAAGAACTGGAATTATCTTGCCTGATTATCTGATTGGAATTTGAGACCTACTTAAGAAATTGTATCTATTGTCCATATTCTATATTTTTTATGATACCATTAAAATATCCAACACTGCAAGTATACTACTGCCCTCCTAGAAAAGGGAGAAAGGAACGTAGGTTTGTGAGATGAAGAATTATCTGCCGATTTATTTGGTGTGGGGATTGAGTATGTGATAATATTGTTGTCAGTATTGGAAAAATGACTTGTGGAATTTAGTGTTAAATGGCTCGGCGGTGCTTTTCATTGACTTGCAAGCTCAATGTTCGTTCGTTCGTTTGTTTATTTTTAATCCCAATAACATTTTCCGTTGTAGTCGTTGCTGTGCGACCCCAATCCAAACTCACCTGCTAATTCTGAAGCTGCTCGGATGTTTAGCGAGAACAAGCGTGATTACAATAGGAGAGTACGTGAGATCGTGGAACAGAGTTGGACTGCTGATTAGCCACAAAATGGTTGTAGGCGAACGAACAGAAAAGACAGTCGAGTGATAACTTGTTTGCATGATATTCCACCTGGGAAGAAAACCGATTTATTGTGTAATTTGCGTATTATGGATGATAATGATGCTTGCTTGGTTTATAAAGATGAACTACTACTATGGTCTATTTCAATTTAGACTCTCTGGTCTATAGTATTTTGGCATCTTTCTCAGGCAAGCTTTCTTCTATCCTTCAATTCTGGCCTTTGATCGAGGTAAATGCCATTTCAACGATTCAATTGGGTACTTCAATTTGGTGGGGATAATCTCATTCTGCTTACAATACTTTCCTGCCAACTTTTTTTTTTTTTTTTTTTTTTTTTAT